GGGGGGGCGGAGAGTGGCGGAAAAACCCCCCCCCCCCCCCCAAAAAAACCCCATCCCTCCCTGCCTGCATACGCATCCTTTAGGAAAGCATCTCCGCAGCATCCCCAGCACCATCATCATCCTCCCAACACCACTTGCAGCCCCCTGCGGACGCCCCTCACCTCCATTGGGCAATGTGGGGGGCTGCGGCGGTGGGTTCTGGGGGTGAGGTCTGCCTGGGACCTCGACACTGTCCGGCTGGGGCTCTCTTTGGGTTTTCTCCTTGGTGACCACCTCCCTCCGCGGTGGCACCAGGGTGATGAAGACTGATGAAGCGATCCTCTTCTCCGCTTTCCCTGGCAGCATCGCTGAAGCCATAGAGGGGCCAGATCTGGGTTCGGTTTTAGGGAAAATAAGATAAAAGAGAGCAAAACCCACGGGCGCACCGGCAGCTCCCGCAGCCACACTGCCCTTCGGCCTCAACCCGCCTCCCTCCTCACCCTCCCGGAAAGGGAGAAGGAACGAGTGTGCCTGTCCCACGTCACAGCAATAAATGGTCTCATGCCTGGGACGACACAGGGTAAAGGGTCCCAGCAAAGCAGCAGCCAAAATCTCCCATTTTCATGCCTCTGTGGCCAAACCCCACCCTTTTGTAAGCATCTTAACCCCCTTTATTTCCTCTTATTGCCCCCACCTGCGATTAAACTTCCTGCAGGCAGCAGAAAAAACCCACCTTTCCCCTTAAAAATGGGGTTGCAATGAATCTGCTTTTGCAAATCCTTTTTTGGAGTGTTTCTAGGTCCCCTAGCTCCCCATTGCCCCGCTAATCACTTCCAGCTCAAGGCATCCCCCCTTTATTTTTGCAGATGGGGAAACCAAGGCACGATGTTACAAATCACCACATCCCCGTCACCGAAACGGCCCCCGAGCATCGCCTGGTGGTGCAGGCAGGATGCGCCTGACCCTGATAAACCCCGCTTGGGAAGGAAAAGACTGTTTATTCAGCTTCCCAACGGGAAAAGCAGCCGGGGCGAAGCTTCCCCTTCCCAGACGGGATGGTTTGGAGGAAGGGGGAACCCCGAGGCTTTAGCCGGGGTGCCGTGCCAGTGAAGCAGGATTCATCCTCGAGATTAATCGGCGGCCTGAAAAATACCTGTGTGACGAGTTGCCCGGTCTCATGCCCTGGTGCGGGGTGGCTCTGCTCCCCCAAAAATCCCGCTCAAAGACGTCAGTGCATCCTTTCAGGGGCAGCCGGTCCCCCCGTGGTGGGGGATAAGCTTCAGGATGTGCACGCTGGTGATTTCAGCCTCTGACTCAAGCAGGGGAAGGGATTAAATAGGAAAAAACCCTGAGCAGATTCGCTCCCTCCTTCCCTCCCTCCCCGCCGGCAAAACCCCAAACGGGCTCCAGCGCTGCCAGCCTTTGCCCGGCTGCTCAAATCCTCGCCCGCGGGAGCTGCCGGTTTTCCTCCTCCCCGGCTGAGCTGCAGAAAATAGGTGGTGGTGGTGGGGAGTAATAATCATAAAAAAACAACCCGAAAAAGAAAAAAAAAATCTCCAGGGCTAATAGGAACCATGTGCTCATCGCATTCCTCTTTGTGCCGAGGCTGACGGGATCCCAGCGGCCCCATCGCGGCACCCCCCAGTTCCCCCCCCCCAAGCCGGGGGCCATTCAGGTGGTTAAGGCTTGAGGGGTGCATTAATGGGGTTCACCCCCCTCCCTTTTTTGGGGGGGATATGTCTGCCCCCCCCCCCGTAGCTCCATACTGTTTTGGGATGGCCGAGGCCACGTTGGGAAGGGCCCCCCTGGTTTCCCACAAGCATCGCCCCAAAATCTCCTGGGGTGGGAGCCCAGCTGGGACCAACGGGGATAGGGCCACTTATGGGGCACCCCCACATGCCCCCCAAAATTGGGATGGGGCATTGCCCTCCTACAACTGTCCCCCAACTCTGTTCCCTGCGCTGGGGACCTCTTGGAGAGCGCTTTGAGGATGCCCGAGGGAGAAGGGACGGGCGGGGGGGTCACAGCCCTTGGAGTCCCCTTGTCCCTTCCCTGAGTGTCCCTGCTGTCCCCTTGTCCCTTACCTGGGGGGTGGCCTTGCAGCCCCCCCGCAATCCCCTATCTCCCACCGGGTAGCCCCGCAGACCACCGTCCCCTACCTGGGGATGCCCTGTCCCCTATGTGGCCGGTGGCCCCACCGTGTCCCCCCCCAACCTGGGAGCCCCCCATCCCCTACCTGGGGGTGTCCCCAATCCCCTACGTGGGGATGTCCCCCGCCCCATACCTGGGGGTGGCTCTTGGTCCCCTTGTCCCATCCCAGGACGGCTCTGCGGTCCTTATCCCATTACCTGGGGTGTCCCCTGTCCCCTACCTGGGGGTGGCCCCTGTCCCCTACCTGGGGGGAGAGGGGGGTCCTACCTTGAGGGATGTAGGTCCCCTACCGGGCGGGGGGTCGCCTGCCCGGGGTGGGGGGGGCCCTGCAACCCCGCTTTGCCCCTCGAGGGGTGGCCCTGTCCCCGTCCCCGTCCCCTACCTGGGGAGCCGGTGCGGGTCCCTCCGTGCGCTCCGCGGGCGCGCCCTGCCCGGCGCGGCGGGGGCAGCGGGGAGGCAGAGCCACCCGGCATCACCGCCCCTTCCTCCCTCCTCCTCCTCCTCCCTTCCTCCTCCCCCCTCCCTGCCCCACGGCCTCGGGTGGGGTGGGGGGGCACATGTCCTTAGGGTGCCCCATGCACCCCTCCTAGGATGCCCGGTATGTTCTTAGGGTGCCCTGTGCACCCTGGGGTGCCCCGTGGGCCCCTCTGACTGCCCCATGCACCCCAGGGTGCTCCATGGGACCTCAGGGTGCTCCATGGGACCTCAGGGTGCCCCATACAGCCTCAGGGAGCCCTCTGAACCCTCTGGCTGCCACATGCATCCCAGGGTGACCCATGGCCCCTCGGGTCCCCCTATGTGCTCTGAGATGATCCGTGCTCTCACACCCCCCAGGTTATCCCATGGACCCCTGTGATTACCCCAGGCACCCTCTGGGTGCCCCATGTCCCCAGTGTTCCCCATACAGCCCTGGATGGCCCCCAGCATCCCCAGGGTGCCCCATGTACCACCCCATACACCCCCAGAACGCCTATGTGCCCCTATACAGCCTCAGGTGGCCCCCTGAGCCCCCATACACCCCCAGGATGCCCCATACAGCTCCATACACCCCCACGATGCCCCACACTGCCTCCACATACCCCCTATCCTCCCATGTGCCCCCACACAGCCCCAGGATGCCCCACACTGCCCCAGCCCCTCTCCTGCTCCCCCCCTCCAGGGGCTGCAGGTTCTTGCTCAGGCAAGCAGCCACCTCTGGGGCCTCCCTCCCTCCCCAAATTGCACCCCACCTGCGCAGGGCCTGTTGTCCCATGGCATGGCACAGCCAGTTGCAGCCAGGTGGGGAAACTGAGGCACAGAGGCATGTCTCAGCCAGATGGTCACTCCCTCCCTGCCTCAGTTTCCCTTCCTGGGGAGGAACTGCACCACCCACCTCCTCCAAAAAGCTGCACTGCAGCCATCTCCGAGTCCCTCTCCAGCACAACAGGACCCCAGCTCGCTCTGCCCACGGATTTTGCTGAAAAAAACCCTTTATTTTCTGAGGTTTATAAGTCCCCAGAGGCCCCTGCGCTGTGACAGTGTAGCCCTGCAGCCACCGAAGACAGGGACATCTGCCAGCATCCCACGTCCTCGGTGGGACCAGAGAGCAAACCCCTACCACTGCCGCAGCATCACGGGGTCCCCCCAAGAACCAGGGGCCATGTGAATGTCCCCCCAACCTCCCCCACCCTGTGGGATGGGGTCGAGCATCTTCTAGGAGCCCTTTTTCCTTTGTCCCCATGGGGGATCTGTGATGGGGAGAATTTGGGGGGTGCCCGCGTTTCGGGGAGCCAAGTGAAGCCACCCTGAGTTTCTGATGCCTGGTTACACCCCGCAGCTTATCAGGACGTCTCCTCTGATCTCGATCCCAACCGCCTATCCAGCCGAGACTGCTGGCCGAAATCCTACAGGAGATGGAAGAAGAGAAGCAGAAAGGCCCCTCACTGTGGCCTCAGGGCTGCTGCCAGCTCCTCACCCCAACATCCTGGCGGGGAGGTGACCCCATCTCACCTGCCGCCGGCATGCCTCCAGCATGACGCCAGCGTGGAGCAGGCACCAGAGCTCTCCCAGCAGCGAGACGAGGACATGGAGGACATCAGTCCAACGGCCGACCGTAAGGAGGAGGATGAAGAGGCCGCCCATTCGTACCAGCACCGTCTGGTAAACCGGCCGCCTGCCAGTGCTCTGCCGCGTCTCCTCTGCAAGGACATGGTGTTGGGGTGGCCACCATGGGGGGGGCCCCGTCCCCTCCCCAGCCCCACAACCAGGGGACACCATGGATTTCAGGGATGCTACGGGGTGGCTTCGCATATAGCTCCAGGTGACCCTATACAGCCCCAGGATGTCCCCTCTGCCCCCATACAGCCCCATATACCCCTAGAATGCCCCATATAGCCCCTCTACAACCCCAGCTGGCCTCTTATCCTCCCATGCAGCCCCAGGATGCTCCATACAGCCCCCATACAGCCCCAGGATGCTCCATACCAGGGCATAACCCCCCCCCAAA